GGCTGCCTGTGGTGCAGCGATGGTCTGTTGGAGCTGCTGGTTGGGTGCATTTTGTTCAGTTGGTTGGTTGTCGCACTGGTGACTGAAGCTGGAAAGCCTGCGACCTGTGTACCTGCACACCTTGGCTACCAGTCTACATAGATAGGTATGAGGGTTTTTTTGACTGTTCAGTTTGTCTCATTTGGGAATGGGAGGGTTTGGGGCATAGCTGATACCATTTCTATTAACGCACTCCTGCTCATTCCCTGTAGCTCCTTGTACAGTAACTTGGACTGTTGGTGTATTAAGCCTTTGTTTACACTTAGTAATTGTGTTTTCCTGCTGGTGAAACTATAGAATAAATTATCCAACCAGAAAACCTTGGGAATCACATTAATACTATTCCAAGTCATGGCTGATTTTGGTTGTTTCTGATGAAAGTTTGAACTTGGAATTGCAAAGGACTTTTTAAAAAATGACTGAAAGGTACGAAAAGTGAGTTATGACCCCATGGTGGAGAGTGCTAGTGTTTTCAAAGGCAGGACTCATCCATTTAACTTTATTTGTCCTATGCAGAGCCTCGAATAATGGATACCTGCTTACTTGATTTGTTTTTTTTATGTTTGGAGGTGGATTAAAGAGTAACTTGTTTTGCTTGTAACAGGAAACTAGGACTCCATTCAGTCCTCAGCACGGTAAGCAAAGTTGCATTTGTTTTTTCCTATATGTAATCTGCCCATGTTCCAGGTGCACACAGCCCATGTCACAGCAGGCTCCTTAGTGGCCAGCAGTACCCAGCAGGGAAACATTGCACTGGATAAGCCTGCTAGAGGAGCAAGCCAAATGGTGGGAAAGGAGTGGGAGGAAAAGGGTCATAACTCAAAAAGATAAAGGTTGGTCCAGATGTTTGCAGTTTTGGTTTTCAGAGCAGACCTCTTCTCTAGCACGCATCTTGCCTCCTGATGGATGTAATGGGATCTAATGGTGGGTTTTAGCTGGGGTAACAGATTTGACTCTGTGGAGTGCCTTTTACAATACTAGATGGACCTGGAAGCAGGAGGGAGAACCCACCCAACGAGCTTACTGGTTTTTTTTGTGTTGGTTTTTTTTTTTTAATGTAAAATTTTAGATTTCTAAAATGGGGAAATGGTTTTGACTACTTATGTGGTAATATAACTGCTAGTTTTAAGTTAACTGGGAAACTTTTAACTTATGTCTGACAGTTGTCTTGTGTTAATGTGTAGAAGACTTATCCTTCCATATACTGTCACTGTAGCTGCTGTATTTTAGACTAAAGCTGATCATGAGTTAATGGTAACACTGAGAGGTTGTGAACGTCCTGATGCAGTTAGTAGCCACTGTGGGTATAACTCTTCAGATGCATATATTGGTAAAGGTCAGTTTGGAAAGTCTATAAGCTACAATAAATTTCTGGTTCTAAAGGTTGCTTGCATTTATTTCTTCCTGAATGGAATAGAGTTGTATTTGTTGGCCTAGAAGTAGAGTTTGGTTTTATTTTTGTTGATCTGTGACATGTAGGAGCACTGGGTGTATTGGAGCATCCATTGGTGTGCAATTTAATCCTTTTTTATTTATTTACAAAACACGTACCTAGAGCAACCAAAAAGTTAAACGTGAGCACATCTTGTTACAGAACCGTGGTTTGTCTTAAAAAAATACTTTTCTTTTTCAAAGGCAACAAAATACGAACAATCAGTTTATACAGAGTTAAAATCACAAATAAATAGAAAGGAGGATCACGGAGCATATTTATAAAGCAGAAGATACTTATTTACAGTGAAACATAATATCTTTGAAAATGATTTTAGTTTTCATCTTTAGTACAGTTCAACTCTCTGGAAAGCATCAGGTGAGCTATTGTGTAAAGCTGGGGACAGCAGCTCTTTGCTGCCCGGTGCAGCCATCAGAGCTCCATCAAGATGCTGTCCCAGGGTACAAGGGAGGAAATCCACTCAATGACTCATCAACATTTTTACTGCTTGTAGGAAAGTCAGCTTTGTTGACGTTGTCACCTAGCTGTAAAACTGTGCTGAATTGAGACGCCTTTGGAATGGCTCAACTCTAGCAGTTGATGCTGATACAGCTTTGTTTTATTGCACTTTTACAATGGAAGGACAGACGACAGGAGCCACTGCTGCTTTGTACTTCTGTAAGCAGGTAGGAACTGCTGTGAGCTGTGTTCAAAATACCTGAGCACACCCAAGGAACCTGCTGGGTCAGACTGCCTTGCTGCAGTGTGACACGGGATCCTGGCTTCCCTGCTTACAGCAGTGTAAGATAATTGTGTTTATATTTACAGTTTTGTAGCATGTTTCTTCCCTCCCATAAGATTACTGTGGTTGCACTGCCTCTCAGCTTGCTTGTGGCCTAATATTTTTGCATGCTGTCTGCACCATGAGTTAATTTAATAAGGAATACAGCAATACTTACCTAGTTTGTTTAGATACAGCAAAGTTGTGTGGCCACAGGCACTGCTGCAAGGAGAGTCCATGCACACCACCCCAAAGGAGGGAGCACAGAATGTAAACGTGTATGTTGTGGTTTTATAACTTTCCTCCCTACTGAGGAAGCAGTAACTTAAGTGCATGCAATATTGTTTTCTCATTGTCAGATTAGTATTCAAAGAGCTCTAAATTCTACAGTATTTGTTTCTAGTAGCAAAGCAACTGAAAGAGATTGCTTTTGCATTTCCTATGTAGTCATTAATTAGGATCTCTTCCTACCTTACTGTATGCTGTGACTGTGGCATGTTTTCTGTATTATTCCAGTCAGATGAAGTGCAGAATGCTCAGTCTCACAAATCTGAGTCTCAGCAAAATAAAAAGCTAAAGAATTAGAGTAGTTGACATCAACTGGCACTGCAAATAAGTTATCCTTATAATACTATAATACTATGTACTAAAAGAACATCTCAGGTGGATTGCTCTCATAATCTGTACGAACAAATTTGTGATATGCAATTGTAGTTACAAATATGGGTTTGAAACTTGAGATCGCTCACTGACTGCTGTTCAATTCAAGCGAACCATGAATTATATCATAGACATAGGAAACAAACATATCAGAGAAAGTAGTTATGCTGTGCTGCTCCATTCACTGACAAATACAGTGTCTACTGTTACTTTCTACAGAGTACATTCTACAGAGGTAGGAGTTACTTTGAGGCAGTATTAACTTAGCTGCACAGCTGATGAACAAATCTATTTGAACTCGTGCTTTTGTAAAAAGCACTGGGCTTACCCTGCAGTATAGGGATGCTGTTTTTTCATTTGTTTTCTCTGAAGTACAGGGCACCTCATTTTAATGGAATAAAAAGAGCTAAAAATCAAGAATGAGTTATGCTTAAGCCCTGGTTGCAAAAACAAATGAAATTTACCCCATAACAGGGAAGATGTATTGGGAAAAAATAGGCAAGTTCAGCATCTGCCCTAAGCTAGCTATTTTTGAGGAAATTTTGGCAAAATTAACCCAAACCAGGCACAAAAGCTTAAATTTACATGAGAGTAGTCCACCATTTGACATGTTTCTTGTTGCTTGGAAGAAAGGATAGGAAGTGCCTTTGTTTCTTTTTAGAGTCTTGTAAATTCAACCCAGGTTGGGGCATACAAATCAACTTCAACTAATTCAACTTCAGGGATGTCAGGAAAATCTGACAGTCATTCCTTAAAAGACAGAAATGGTAGCACCTCTTGAGGAACACGATGGTGTGAAGAACACAGGGAATGGAAGGGAAGCACCCCAGGGAACTGCTAAAGGAAGCAGATACTAACCAGACTGCTTATCTTCCAGCATGACCCATAGGCTGCAGCCTGTTTGATGCACCTCAATTTGCTCATGGGAGGCACTGAGGGACAGCAGTGGCTCCTGTTCATCTGTCCCTGTACAACACCAGTGCTCAGAACTGCCCACCAGGTGAGGACATTAGCTGGAGACAAAAATACAACACAGGAGTAGAAATACATGATTAACAGCACCTTGTGGGACAGGGGACAGATTTCCTTGGTAAAGAGACAAAGGCAGCTGTGGCAACAGAAGGCTGGAACAGTTTGTCCAGTGTAGGTACCAGCACAGATGACTGCACCTTGTTCTTTGGCTGACCTCCCCACTCACAGTCTATGCACCCCAGCTGTACTAACAAACAGAGCTGCGTGCCTCAGCTGAGAGCATATGGCTGAAGAGAGCAGGGAACAAACTTTTCAGATGAACTGAGATGCAGTTTTTCAGTACTAAACCCACTCATCTGGCACTCCTCTATCTTTACACAGGAAAGCAGACTGGCCAAATAACTTAAGCACAGAGCCGTACCATATGTCCCACGTGGCACTGGGTTACAGTGGTGTATCGCAGTAAGTACATAAGTGCAGGCCAATGCCCTCCATGTATGCTTCTCTTGCAACCAAGGTGGCAGACTGGCTGTAATGCCCCACGAGGAGGTACATTCAGCAACCAATGGCACAATGCAATTTTAATGTTTTCAGTCTTAAAAACAGAACAAATGCAGAAAACAAGAAGCTGGCTGAGTTTAACCTAAGGTCTGCTTTAAGAAAGCAAACATACCTAACTCAAGTTAGGCCAACCCAAGCACCTCTTCTTGAGATGTGAGATTTTAGGCAGCATCTCAGAGCTCTCTGGCCTCTGCAGCAGAGAGACAGTAATGTGATAGTATGGATTTACTTTTTAATCGCCACAGTGCAGAATAAAAAGTTTGTACAAGTTGGTTTCAGAGGAGATTTAGGCTGACATACCTTGGTGTACACTGAAACAGGGTAGGACGTAGTGAGTTAAAGCCTGAGCTGTAATGGTAGAGGCCTACAACAGCTGTGCTATAAGAGCTACAGCTGTGTAGCTGTTCAGTGTTTAGCTGAATTGTCCAGAAAATAAAAATAGACAGGTTAGCACACTTACTGACTTCAAAGTATATTGAAACTGCCTGAACTCTTCCATTAGAAGATGTATTTGAAACTTAACGAGTTGTTAAGGATACGGTACATCTACCTACCTTTCACTGTTTGCAGTAATTTTATTGCCTTGTGCCTCTCCCTTGCCACCCAAAGATCTGCTGAAGGCATGATTATGCAGTTGATGGCAGTCCAACTTTCAGTTAGGCAGAAAGATGTGATCTCTGGAACCACAGGTGAGGGATCTTAAACACGGCAACATTCATCAGTCTTCTAAAACCAGTCTACAGTGGTTGGATTCAGTGCAAGTGGTTGTACATTCTCTTGGAGCAAGTGTGCAGGCTGACTGACTCCATCCCTCTACTGTCTGTTATCTTTGGATACATTGTGTGCCAGCCAGTTCACTTTGGTTTTCCAGCTCTCTCGCAGGGCTTCATTAAACTTGAGTCTGAAGTGTTTCAGTGCCTCTTCATCCGTTTTACCAAGAGCCAGGGAATCCTGAGGGTAAGAGGCAGAATTCAGTATAGCCTCACTTGAAGTACACCTGACAAGTCACTGCTAAACTACCAAAATATTGACTTAAGAAATTATGTATTGAAAAGGACACTAAATAGGAGACAAATAGGGGTTAATTGTTTTAAACAGTTACTGAAGCTGCACAAGATTTTTCATTGCAATACATCTGTCCTACTTGTAATTTAGGAGTAAGGAAGCATTAGGTTTCCTGGTGCCCTTGCTCAAAGCTACTCTCTTTCAGATGGACAGAGCTAGGTTATTAAATTTAAGGATGCAAGCTGGGAAAAGGATTCCGTGCTCAACCAAAGAGCTGCATCCTTTCATGCAAGGTGGTTCTACAACATGCTTTATTACCTCTGCAATGAAGAATCTGATGGATTTCTTCCCTAAGCACCAGTACCTGCCATTTCTGACATCCTACATGGGAGCCATGCACATTTACTCGTCTTTTGCTGTTCAGAAAGTTGAAGAACTTTCCACCTTCTTCTCCTGCACTACACAACCAGGTATTTAGTTTCAGCCACTCCTGGGTTCTGCTTTACCTTCAGGTACTGGATGTCCTTAGAGCAGCTGAGCTCTGGCAGGCCAGCAGCTTTCATCAGTGCAAACAGGTGCAGGAAGAGAGGACCATGGCGCCTCAGAATCATGTAGGCCTTTTCACAATAACCCCTGAACCTGTTGAGAAAGGAAGATGAGGCAAATAACTGAAGGCTGCAACACTGACTAATATCTTGCTTTATAAAATAGTGAGGCCTTTTCACTTGCTCCAAAACACAATCATTTATTTGTTTTACTTTGTATATATTGAAATGGACTAATGTTTTTAAGTTATCCAGTTATTCCATTTCACAAGAGCTAATGGAATACATGACTATTGGACTGTCGAGTCTAGGGATCTCCACAGCCACTAATTTGAAGCTGTAGTTCCAAGAATGTGGACAAGGGACACTACACCAGGCACAGACACAAGTGCTGCATTCTCTCTCTTTTGGCTTTCTGCTGCATAACGAGTTCTGACAGCTCCAGTATAAGGAGTTGGACTTCACACAGCATCAGCCCTTTGTAAAAGCCTTCTATACCCCAAATATTGAGCATCAGAAGGCAACAGTATACAGAATTATGGAAGACTACAGAGGGGTTTTGTTACCACAAGCAAGAGTATAACAAATGCTTCCAAAATGAATAAGGAGCACTTTATGTTCATTTTATACTAACTTCTGTATTCCAGAATTGTTGTTATGCTGCTTTGTAGGCAGCTCCAATGGTGGAAATAGTGGAATTAACTTCAGAGAACTCAGACCTTAACCTTACATCAGATTGAACTGCTAACCCTTACCTTTCAAACTTCTCACTGTTGTTTGTTTTTCCTTGCTGGATGACGTGCACAAAATCATAGGTTAAGATGAAAGGAACTCGTTCTCTATTAATACCAAATTTGGTCTTGAAGTTCCCCAGAAAGTGACCAAAATCAATATGGAACAACTGGAAAAAAGGAAGAAGAAATTGGTTTCAGAATAGTACTGCTCCTCCCAGTTACTGCATTCGAAAGATACAGACCATAGCATTTTGGGAGGGAGAAAACTGTCCTGTCCCCTGGCACTCCTTGGGAGAAGTGGCAATGTTTACTTGCCAAAATATTCTCTACTGTAATTGAGAGGTACCTGCCTCTTCAGGACTTGGTATAGCTGAAAAAACAAATGTTTTATTAATGCTCTCTTATCCTAGCAGTGCAGTCTGGAGTCCCAGACAGCACGTGAAAATAAGATCTGTTTTGAAGTTGCTACCAAACGTTACTTCTTCAGGTAGAGCTTCCCCCCCAAAAAAACCAAACAAACAACTATAAAGCAAGTGAAGCATTCTCATTGCCAGTACAATGATGGGAAGGAAGGTCACAGCGCAGTCATGTACCTTTTGCAGAGCTGCTGTAAAACCCAAAACATACAAACCCCGAGCCTGCATACAGCAGAGCACCAGCTCCCCCAGGTGGACAAATCACTGAGCATCCCTGCTCTGAAGAAAGCTGCAGAGGCTTCTTCTCCAGCACTGTTTTTTATGTTGTCAGAAGAGGCAATCCTCCATAAGGGCTGCTGCTAACCATAGCCCAGGAAGGGAGGTTACTGTCTTGTTAGTGAATGACACAGTGGCTCTGCAGTCCTTGCAGCACCAGTGTGAAATTATAGCCATACTGATCACACGCAATCAAGTCTTTTTCCTAGGAAAGCTATAAAAATCTTGGACAAGTAACTGAGGTTCTTACCTTGCAACTACAAGCAATCTGTAATTCTGCTGAAGCCAAGTAAGTCTTCAGCCTGCTAAGTATAGTGGTCAGGTTTGTACCTGCAAGTGATTTTAGGTCTGAGGCTGTAATTTCAAAATTAACAGCAGCCAGACAAGAGATTACTTTGACAGTTGGTAGCAGTGACACTTATTCAGAGAAGAATATTCAAATTCTGAAGCTGTATTTACCCTCTCCATGATGGAAGCTATTGAGAATATTTGTCCAAGTCTGCCTCTGCTGGAAGCTGCATCCCTTAGCAGTAGAACTGCACTGGGATATTTCCAACCACTGCTGAGCAGCTTTCATGCACCTCTCCCAGTATTCAACAGCAGCACTCCAGCCCCATACCTGGCCAGTTTCGCGGATCATGATGTTATCGCTGTGCCGGTCGCCGATCCCCAGCACATAGGTTGCCACGCAGTACCCCGCACAGGAAAGAGTGAACTCCTCTATGGCTTGTTCTAAAGCATCACTAAAGAAAAAAGGATGAAAAGGAAGTTTTGTTTTGAACACCAGTGCTTCACAGCTGGGAAGGCTGTTTCTAAAGATCTCTCCCACCCTTGAGACCTGCAGAAGGTAAGAGAATTACATGCCTGAATCACTTCCTGTAGCATTTTCCAGTCATCTGCTATACAAGAAGCAGCTGGAGTAAAAACTATCCATAATTAGAGAGGTCATGGTTATAATTCTGTCCCCAGTCTCAACTCAACTAGCTCAGTATTAACTCAGAGCCCTCTTATTCTGCTAGGTTGCAGAGCTGCCAGCGATCTCACAGGACAGGTTGGAAACATGCATTACTGAAGGAAAACATCGAGAAAAGCAGAAAAGAAGTTTGTCTCTCACTGGAAGGAAGTAGCAAAGCAGCACTGAGTAAAAGCTAAGTCCACATACCCTGGGTTCTTGGATTTCAGCCAGTTTAGCAGTGCATCCTTGTTGAAGGCTGCAGTGGCAGCCATGTTGCTCTTGTTCAGCTGGATGTTAGCGATGGTATCAGAATGCATGACTACTTCTATCAGCCCAGTCTTGTCTCCTGTGGAGAGGCAGCCATAAGGAGTCATCCTGCAGAGACGAAAGAAACCCTTCTGCTGAAATAGTGCCTGTAAGGGAGCTGTCTCGATTTTCCCCTGTCTGCCACATCAAGAGCAAATTGGTAGAGAAAAACTGTCCTTTTGGCCTAAGCTTCAAATGGGAACCAAGGAAAATCCTGCAGTTCAATTCTTCAGTGTTTTGAGCCAGCAGATGGAACTGTATCACTGAACACCCAACCACCTTCACCTCCTGTGCTTCAGAAGCATGAAGGGCAGTTGGGATGCACAGGAGACAGAGGATCTTCCATCTGGCAGCTTGTCTAACCAGCTATCAAGCACTGATTTATTCTTCACATGGACAAAAATGCAACATAACTATGGCTTAACAGGAAATCAGTGAAAGAGAGAGTGGTGAGGTGCTGGAACAGCTGCCCAGAGAGGCCATGGATGCTCTGTCCCTGGAAATGTTCAAGGCCAGCTGGGCAGCCTGGTCTGGTATTAAATGTGGAGGTTGGTGGCCCTGCATGTGGCAAGGGGGGGAGTGGGAGATTCATGATCCTTGAGGTCCCTTCCAACCCTGGCCATTCTGTGATTCTGTGAGTCTGATTTAAGCCCAATACAACTTATATCCCAATTTAACAGCTGTGCAGCCCTGGCTCTAGCTCCAGCCATGTAACAGTACACATCACCAACTTCTGCTTGCTGCCAGTGAATTTCCACAGCCTCTGCTGCTGGACTGTATTTTAGTTTTGTCCTCCATACTTCATCCTTCCCTAAACCATGCTGTGTGGAAGCAGCTGCAGAGTTCTATCTTAAACTGCCTGCATCCCTTCTCCCTCACAGTGCATTTAGTTGGGAATTTCCAGTGTCCCAACTCTTCCTCCTCCCTTCTTCACTGCATTTCTACCCCTCAGCACCTTCAAACCTGACTATCTCAGAATACTGGACAGACCTGGCAGAGACAAAAGCAGCTTGCAAGCAAAACAGCTGTACCCACATGATCTATCATTGCAGCCAGACATCTGTAGGCACATTACTCACCTCAGGTCCAGGCCCTCCTGCTTCCACAGGACGTCCATCAGCTGGATCATCTGCAGAGTCAGCATGTCCTGACGAAGATCTGTGCAGTGTTACAAAGGAAGAAAGGTTCTTTAAGTACCTCCCTATTTTCCCCTCCTGTTCTCTTGCATGCTAAACTTGTTCTGCCCTTGCAGCACGATGCTAGAAGGCCTTTGCCACCTCTGTCTTGCAAGCAAAGAATGTTTTCACAGTTGAATAGCTCAGCACCAGCGTAAAGTTACTGCTACTCCTGTCTGAGTTGATCTATCTAATGGAGATAAATGCTGCTTCACTTTGCCACAGCTCTTACCACAGCAGGCAGTGTAGCACTTCCCTAGAAATAATCTCTGGCCACAACAGGAGCAGTACCAACAGCAGCCCTACAAGGCCCTCACAGCGGGTTCCTTTTCACTGTGTGTGGGAGTATCCAGTTCTCAGTGACTGGTACAGCTGTGTTAAAATATTGTATTGAAGGTGACAGCAAGTAAAATGCAGACCAGAATTTACTACACCTCCAGCTTTCTGTCAGACATCTCCAACACACTGACAGTGCTTGCTGACACAACATCTTAAAGGTCCATGCTTAGGCCCATTCATCACAATAAATACTTGAGATTACGCCTAGAAAGCGTATCCTTAAAGACTTACCATCTCCATTTTTAAAAATGATACCCACTCCACCTCCACCTGTCTCTTCATTATTAAAAACAATCCATAAGGGCTTCATTTTGGAATCCATAAATGTGCACTGATCCACACTACGGGAAACAAAAATACTATCAGTGTTTCTACCTATTAGAAATGTTTGCATCTAAGCTGCAATTTCAACAGCATCCAGAATTGCTCATGGACAGAGAAAACATTAAATTGGGAAGTGTAAGAGCTGAGAACCAACTGCCATGAGAAAAGAGGGCCTCAGAGTAACCAGAAACCTGGCTCTACTGCTGAGCAAAACCTGCAGCACAGGAGGAGGAAGAGATGCAGCTGTATTACTTACCAAACTTCAGTGAGGATAATGCTGGGGTTCAGAGGGGACTGGAGGTGGGAAAGTGCTTCGAGGTAAGTTTCCTGCTTCATGCACACATGCATCATCTCCTTGGCTTGAGGCTTGGTGGCCTTTGGAGAACTCAATTTAACAAACTCATTCAGAGCTTTCATCTTGCTGAGTGCTTCTCCCTGCAAAGAAATGGATGAATAGAGTAGGGTTAACAAATAGGAAATGCCTGAAGAAAATGCAAGAATTAGAAAAATCCACTGTGAAATGCAGGAATTGCTTGTATCTCTTATTTACTCCTCAACGTGTGGCAATTTCATGAATTGCAACAGAACAAATTTAAACTTTCTGCTTTAGAGAAGTTCATGATCAGTTGTGGGTATTTTGCTGGACACAAATGCATTGCAAGGTAATGATTACAGTCCTAAAGACCAGGAATAATGAACAGTGTCAAGCACCAGAGAGAGATGTGAGCTGCACTGGCTACAAGCATGAGTTCTATAGCCCCTGCCCTATGGAGTTCTGGTCATCCCAAAGCACCACTCCGTCCTAAAAACAGGCACAGCATTAGTTTGTGGGCACATCTTAGCTCTGACTTCACATATGCAGTCCCCCACGTCTGAAATAGCTACTGTGATCCTGACAAATAAAGGGTTAGTCAGTAATGAACAAGATTACCTCCACATGGCAACCGAAAGAAAGAATGCACTGCTCCAAATCAGGCAGTGAATTGTAATGATATCCTACTAAATGGCAATTCATTCAACTCATCTAGTAACAGCAGTCTGAGCATTTCAAGCCATCCTAGACAAATCTGGCAGTTTGGGACATGTGGGGGTGAGTAAGAGATGAGCAAAGTCACACATGATGGGGAACTCCAGGCTCTTAATAGGATATGCCAAAAACAATATAGCAGCTGCAAGGCTCCTTCCGTATTACTGATAACATGAAATTGAAAAATCAAAGAGCTGAGAACCAGCTCCAAGCAACAGGGATGACAACCTTATAGATAAAAGCAATTCTTACCTGTTTCATCAAAACCTTCATATGGTGGGTGCTGCCTCTGCAGTATGCTTCCAGGATCAAGCCAAACCTCAAGGCAACTGCAGGGACGTGCATTTCTGACCTAGAGGAAGGAGGGAGGTTGAAGCAAACCTGAGTACCAAGCAAGTACTTAACTCTCCCATTCATGCCAGCACAAAGCATGTATGTGTGTGTGGGGGGGGTTGTAGGAGATGTTAGCTGCTGTTTAGATTGTATGCATTTAGAAGAGAGGAAAAAAAAAAAAAAAGAACACCCACCCCAGAAGGTGCTATAGGAAAAAGACTACTTGAAGTTGTGAGACATCTTTGTCATTAAAATGCTAACCACTTAATTGAGAAGATTAAGGAGTAAGGATGATTCTGAGCCTGTGGCTTGGAACTGGCAAGTGGCTAGGGATGTCCAAAGTGATTTTCTACTCTGGGTATATAGATAAAAGTTCCAAAAACAACCTAAATCCAACCAACACAACTCCCTTCTCTGCCACCTCTCTGTTCTGGGAAGAACAAAAACAAACAAACAATCCTAAACCAATCAACCAAAAAAATGTTGTGTTATTCAGTCTTTCAAATAGCAAACAGCAGCTCCTGGGGTTTGGTAACCATGTCAGCAAAGTCCCATCAGTGCTCTGGTGAAAGATGCCAGCCAACTGCCCTTAGATAAATACCTTGGCATCCACGTGTGCCAAAGTGCTTGCTATCTCATTTCACAGTGCAGTGAGGAATCCAGTGAACCCTGGTCTCATTTGACTATTAAGCATTAGCCCAAAACATCTGCTCTTACCTGAGGTGCCAGAACAAGAAGTGGCCGATCTTACGGTTGGATAGAGCCCTGTCCAGCAGGAACTTGGTTAATTCACAGTCTAAGTAGGATTCATACTTGAGCACCTGGACAAGCTGCAGCAGATATTGGAACAATTCATGATCTCTGTGGACAGAGGGGAAAAATAAAAGATAACCTCATCTGCACTGCAAGGAGTGTGCTTACAAGAACAGCATAGAGAAGGCTGTCAGCCTCATTCACAGTCCTCCTCCGCAGCCCTGAGCATACACAGAAAGAGGCTTCTGCAAATCGCTTGTGATGAACACTTACGTCAGCTTCTTTAATGAGTTGATAGCAAAGGAGCCAACATAACGGTCAGGGAAGCTAAAATCCAACAGCTCCAAGGCATTCAGGACAGGCAACTCTGGCCAGGTCTGAAGCAGGGAAATCATCTGTAATTAAGAAGAAAAAGGAAAAATTAAGACTGATCAAAAGTTCTACTGCTGGAAGAGCAGATCCTTTGCATGGTGGGAAACTATCCTAATCACTACAGGTGCCTCAGAGTCAGTTTGCAGACATCATGTCAAACACCAGTCTGTGGAAAAAAGCACTGTTCTGTAGCATAACAGTGTAGACTGGAAGGGGACTTTCAGAGGTTCCTGTTAAAGCTCTGGCAGTGAGTACAGATGGACACTGCCCCTAACTGACAAGCAGTGGGGCTGAGACAGCACACAGAGCCAAACCTCAGCTTGACTGGGTGCCACTCAGCATACAAAGGCGTTCAACAGCAACTGGGAGAGAATGGAAAATTTTGCTGAGCCCAATGATGCCAAACCCACCTGCACAGGGGCACTGCCAACCATCTCTGGTTAGGCTGGCCTTTCAGACATAACAGGGGTATAAACACAGAAAAATTCATTAAAGATGTGCCCTGCTGCCAACTCCAGCATCCTCACCTGGGCCACATCTTCATGCTTGTTCCATTTGGTGATGGTAAGGAGCTTTGCCAAAGCTTGTGGGTATTGGTCACGGATATCATATCTCATCTTCCACACCAGATCTTTCTCATGCTCATAGAGCTCAGTGTGGCTCCTCCGCTCCAATATTTCCTTCAGTTGCAGCTTCTGCTCATGGGAATCACAGCAAAGAGCATACAGAGGGCTCAGCCTCAACCCAAAGGCCTTGCTCAGCCCAGAGAGATGCAGTAAGACTGGGGTATAGTGAAAAATGCTGGCTGGGGGTAAGATGGAGATATGACTTAATCTAGGAAGCCAGGCTTGCACACAGCCTGCACACAGCAGCAAAGCTGATGCCAAAGACTCACCTCCTCTGGATCTTCTGGTGCAGAGCGGGGTTGTTCTCCATTCCTCCCCAACTCCAGCAGCTGGAACACAAATATAGACTCTGAGAAAGGCTCCTCATTTCCTGTGTACTTCCAGCCTGCTATCATTTCAGGCATTCATGCTGCACTAGAGACTCGCCACATCTGAAGATGGGAACTGCACCTCTCACAGCCCTGATGTAGGAAGTAAAGGGAAAACCCAACTGCACATGATGCCCCTTTCCCCAGCAGTGATGAGAATCAAGGTCCTTCCTCCCAAGAAAAGCACATCTGCACACCCACATGGACCATGCACAGAGCACTGGCTCTCTAAACTGCAGGTTAACAGGAACCACTCCAGGTTCCTACAACCAGTGTGTGCTTTCCAAACAGCCAGCACTGCCCAAGGAACCTTGCATGCTAGCAATCTGTTATAGCTGCTAAGCCAGAAGATGCATCATGGATGAGTCCCTGGCAGAGCACATCTCCTTCCTTTCCTGCAATGGGTTCATTTCTTCTTCCACTTCAGAAGTGTGGCCAGCTGTAGTGACAGATGGAAAATTCTCATACCACACAGCACGTTATCATCCTGTGCTGAAAGGCAGGGAGCTCTCTCTTTTCACTCATCTTCCCCTTATTTCCTTTCCATTCTATAGAGCCCAGCACTGCCTGCAGTTTAAAGGCAGCTCAGTTAAATCCATTTGCAAACAAATGCCCATGGATGAGAGCAGTCTTACTTTAGGAATTCAGAGCATGCAAAACCATTCATTCAAAGATCCATTACTAGTTAACAGAAAAGGCCACTTTTTCTATTTTCTATCCATTAATCAAGTTTGTTTGTATCTGGTCTCTGCAGACAGTTGCCCAAAAGCGTGTGCTCCTGCACTATAAAGCTAATGTTTGAGTCTCAAGAAAACACCTGTGTTCCCTACCTGCTCAAATGATGGATAATACACAGGATGCGATGCAATGTTGGGGAAGCAGATGACTAAAGCTGCTGCACTTTCTGTGTTGGGGTTGCACTGCACCGTGCCCATGGGGTTCAGAAGTTCACCTTTCTCATCTGAAAAGCAAAGCACATAAATCCATCAATCCTATCTGTTGAGGCTTTGGTCCAGAAAGCAGCGCATAGGACTGCTTCCAGCTCTGTCACTGGTCAGAACAGGAAGCAGATCACTTCATTTTCCCAATCTCTCAAAGCACTGAAGTATACATGGCATCTTTAGGACTGCAGCAGCCTCTTAAGTCACGTGTGCAATGCCAAGTAAAACAAGGCCTTCACCTTGGCATGGCTATAATACAGAGCTGTAAAGGTACTGGGACTGCTAGCACAGAGTTAATGCAGCACCAGCATGCCACTCCTGCAACCTACTGGACAGCAATGGAGAATGCAGGGCAGATCACATCTTTGTGGCAGAAGCTAGAGACAGAAACACACAGCAGCATTAGCTCCTGACATACCTGGGAAGGATGACCACATGTGCAAGCAGCACTCCCCTGTTTTCAGCTGGTCCTTGTAATCAAAGAGCATGACATTCACCCAGGCAATGGGGCAGTCCTGGAAAGCAGAGAGAAAAGCTTATGTGAGTGCTGTATTTGGAACATTGAGGGAAGGAAAGAGCAGCAAAAGAACAGGAGATACCCCTATGCAAAGCAAATCCCTCACAATAGCCATGACTAAAAAGTTATATTATCTCCTTAATTTCTTCCAAGTCTGCAAATTGCTATACAGAGTACAGCAGGTGGGTAACTTTCCATTCGAGAGCATCTAGGCATCCCCTCAAAGAGATGCTGGAAAGAACTCACCCCCCCAAGCAGCCATGCCTGCTGCCAACCTCTGACATTCTAAAACATATCCTGAGTACAGGATAGCACCAAATTCAGATACTTACTAAATTTTAGTGGTTGAATGGCACCAAACACTCCCTACAAACGTCTGAAGCTTCATCACCCAATATTTTGCAAGCTGAAGATTCTCTAAGTTTCCAATATAGCTTTAAATTCTATACTCAATGATATTTGAAGGAGCCACATCTTATATCCTTTATGTATTTCAAGGCTTGAGGGGAGAGAGAAGAGCCTCAAATTTGAAACAGGAAAGTGAGTTAACATGCCCTCAGAACACCAGATAGAGAATGCAGAGTATATCTGATAACAGGAAGAAAAAACGTTGGCTCCTTTTGTGCAATAATGAACACTACCTACCTACAGATGACAAACTTTATGCTGTCAATCCCAACCCAACCCTTTCACCCTCCTCCCAACAAGAAGAAACAAAACACCACCACCAGCACCCCACCAAAATCACCCAACTAAACAAACAAAAAAAGCAACACCCAAAAGCCCAACCCAGTCACACAAGCCTCATTTGGGAGGTGCAGGACTCCAGCAAGTAAAGTGACTGGGACATGGCCAAGAAAGAGAAACCATCTCCCTGCCACCAGAGCAAACAGACCAGAGCAAACAGACGTGTTCCACAAGTGAGCTAAGATTTCCTGTGCTCAGGTTCCTCAAATGGAACAGTTTACTTCATGTAACAGTTCAGCAAAACCAGCATTTCACTTGGCTGCTCAGAAAACAAGGCTTGAGTGTACATCAGCACAGAAACTGACTTGCAAAGAGACTGCGAGACCAAACTGTAGTGAGACACACACAAACTGTGTAACATTTGAAGGGATTCACATGGAGGCATCTTGTTCCACTGAGATATGCTACAGAATACATCAGGCTTGCCCAGAAGGTGCACCAACCTTGGTGGAGTTATGCTGTGTCAGCATTTCTCCCTAACGAAACAAAATGAATCACTTCCAAGCGGCCTCTCACAAACCTCTGCTGTTGACTTGATTAAACTAATCGTCTTCTGTAAAATCTTATTTGAGACATCAGCTTTCAGACTGCAGGGAAAAGCTACACACACCACCACCAGCAACAACCTTGTCTAACAGACTCTGTATGACATCAAACCACAGCACAAAGCCTGCCAGAGAGCAAAGCGAGATTTTGGGTGGATAAAGTCCAGCAAAGAAACGATTCAGCATCATAAGGACAGAAATATCTCCTGCATGACTTACAGAAACACTGAAAGCCAAGCAGTGACATTAAAGCTCTGACTCATCGCAGCCAGTCGGCAGGCTCGCCTGTTTTTGTGATAATAAATGACTTAGTCCCACCTATCTGCTCTGCACAGTCCACACAGACCAACAACATGCATGCATTTAACCTCTGAGTACTTTAAGCAAGCAAAAAAATGATCTAACAAAAATCAGGGCATGCTTTGACTGGAACCTCCAGTCACCAATGCTTCTAAATGAGATCTGGGCGCCCCACTCAGAGCTGCAGCCCAAACATGTGATCAGCTCCACTTCTGCAAAGCTCAGCTCCAGGAAATACCAGGACTTTACAATAAAAGCTCAGCAGAAGGCACCACTTTTCCCCATTACAGAACACATATGAACTACTCCTCTGAACAGCCCAGCTAACTGAGCTGGTCTTGTTTTATCAATCAGAGCAGTAAAATTTCCTTCTGACTGCCTCAAAACTGAGAATTGCTCCTATGTGACCACAAAAATGCAGCCTGTGGATGAATGAGACATCCTGTTCAAGGCAAGCCTCCAGCAGAAACTGGACAACTGCTATTCTCCAGTTGTTTTTTTTTTAAAAAGCAAACAAACTCACAAAAAGAAAACAATAATGAGGTGAAAAGGTTGGTTCTGATCTTAGCCTCGAGATGTTACCAGTCTGAAGCCTCCAACCTGGAAACCGGTCCGTGCAAATAGGACTCATGGGTCACCTGTTGCTCCCCAGACAGTAAAGCACCGTAACCCTGAGAGCCTTTCTGATGTCAACACAGTGAGGCTCAGCAAACTGCCAGTCATGGAGAGGAGCTGGGAGAACCAAGGCTTCATAAAATCTTCTGTGATTGCATTTGTCAGTCCCTCATTACTCTGCACTCTAGTAAAGCTACCATGACTAAATCCCCTGTTTAAAGCATGGCAACTGTGTTTTTATGGCTGCAGAAACACTCGTTTACAGAGGAATAGACACATCTGTTCTCACAAAGAAAACTCACATACAAAGAGCTAGAGGTATCATGCTTAGCTAAGGTATAATACTGGAAAACCAGCAATTCCATTCCACTTAGATCTTCTCTTATTGAATTACTGTTATTAATGGGTTAGACGTTTTGAAATAGAGGCAAAGTGAGAAATATCACTGCCTCTCTAATTCAGAAACTCAGCACAGGAGCAGCCAAAGTGACAAGACACTTTCCATCTGCAGTCTGCAGCACCTGAACAACAGCCTTCAAAGTCCTACACTTTTACCTCACCTAGAGCTCTGCTACAACCAGTGCTTACATTACTCGTGTTCTTCCCCATTCTTAGCTGTTAACTTGCTCCACAGAGACTTGCATAAAAGACCTTTCTAATAAAAGAGGATGTAGCATAGAGTAAGGCTTTAACCTCGACTGCAAAACAAGGAAGTTGTGGAACAGCAAAACTAACAAAAGATTCCTCTTTGTGTGCGTTCTGATGTTGAGTATATTTCTTAATAGCTTTTCTGAAGAAGAAATTACAGTTAAAGCATCCTTCCCCATGGGCAGCCACTCCTCAGCTTTCTGTTCCTGCTGAGGAAGCTACTGGTGATCATTCTGTAAGCTCTTTTATTCGCAGTCATCTGAAAGCAATGGGCACTAGGCTCAGGATGGTGTCCTGTGCCCTGCAGCTCTGGCTCAACCTCACACTGGCTTTACTTACAGCTTTCTTGGACTTCTTCTTGGTGGATCGTGCTTTCTTTGCCTTCTCGATGACAGCATAGAGTGCAAAGCAGAGCCGTGCCATACGAGGGAGATCACAGATATTAATATCAAAATCCAGCCTCTGCTTCCACACTGGCTCTGAGCACACGTTCACTTCAGAGCTTGACACCATTTTGCACAGCATCTCATTGCCATGAAAGAGACCTGCCTGCACCACCAGCTGAGGAGAGAAGAAATGAGAGAATACCATGAATCCACAGGGATTTGACCTGTCTGCAAAAAACCCATGACTTAGAAGCAGAATGGGACAGGGAGTCCACTCCTGAAAACAGGATGCCCTACTCCTGTTTCTTTCCTCTGATTTACCAAGACACTAAGCCCCTCAATACCCAGTTTTACTCCACTTCAGTAAGAGTGCTGTTATCTTTTCACTTCATGTAAACTTGCAAAAGCATTGCAAAATGCTTGGGTAATGAATTGGTAAGAATAATACATGTTTCATCCTGTGAAGCCAAGCAATATAACTATTCAGAAAACCTCATCCTCTGAGCTGCTGCAAAACCTTAGGAACCTGTCACGCTGCAAAAGCAAGGCAGGCACCAGGAGCTGGCCAGTGCATACACCAAAGAGAAAAATTAGCAGCACAGGGCACCCAAACACTGGTTTGTCAGAGCAGGCCTGCAGTGCGATGCCAGCACATTCGTGTCTGCAACCTGCACTGCTCCTGCAGCCTGCCAGACTATGGTACAGCTGACAGGCCAGGCTCATCCCCAGCAGGACCTCCTCTTGCAGCACTGCTAGCTAACCCAAATCACAGGACACTCCCCAGGAAAAGCTCCCTGCATTGTGCACTGTGCTTTAACTCTAGCAGTCACAACATCTCCCATCATTCTCTTCTTAGAGCTGGATTTCCCCTCCTCCATTTTTGCAAACTTCCCTGCATCTCCACACCTCTGTCAAGCAGCATCACTGCAGAGGAGCAGCAGTTTGTTACTCACAAACTCTTGCAAGGGAATGTGTTTCTCTGCTGCTGAGCTGCTGCTTAGCAAGTTCCCTTCCCCTTCCTGTTGCATTGCATCTTAGGAACTACCCACGGGCTGAATGAAGCATAATGGAGGCTCACGTGAGATCAAGCTGTCAGCCTCCGCTTTCCTCACCACAAACAGATGCAACTGAGAAAGCAAAAAAGCCAAAACACAAAACAAAAGCCCAGAACTGCTGTACCTACCTTCATTCTCTCATCCGCATTGACCTTGCTGCCTTGCACTAGTTCAATGTAGAAGGACTGCTCCAAGGACCAGAGAGAACCGTAGTTTGGCTAGAAGGAGGAAAGGGTTCTGATTAGAAATAGATGCAAAGGCTTCTCAAGCCAGCAGCAGTTCTCATCACTCATCATCACATGCTTTCAATCCCAACACAAAAGAGCACCGCACTGCAGGCGAGCAGTATTCTGTCACAACTAAGGCAGGTATCTGGATCTGGAAGGCTGACTGGAGCCCTCAGCCCTTAAACCCTGGAGAATAACCTATCCCAAGAGCAGTGGGGAGAACCAGCTGCCATTCCAAGACCAATGTTAGCATCTCCATCAATAAACCAGTTAACAGGGAGCTGGCTCACTCACTGAGCCCTTTTACCTTTTTCTTAGGGAGTGGGGGAGGCTTCACTGCCATCTTTGGGGGGTTGGCTATACTGTTGACCTGCTCATCTCTCATAGCAATAATAGTGGATGAGTGTACCATGGTCAGGTGGGGTGTCAAGCCTCGGTGCAGGCAGCTACGAATGTACTGCAAAGAGAGGAGAGAGTCAGCATGGATGAAACAGAGCCAGGCAGGCATTAAAAGCCGAGCAAATCAGAACTGTTGAAGCAGAAATAGGTGACAAGAAATTATGGAAAAGACACAGCAACAACCAAAATTCCATTTTAATGTACTTCCTCTTGTTTTTTTTAAACCAGCATCTCCCTGGTCTCACATTGCCATAGCCAAGAATGTGACATGCCTTGCACCTGACATTTCATCAACTGACTCAAAAGGCTGCATTGGGGAAAACTGCTGGGGATTCAGCACCCACAGCCACACTTTGCCCTGCCAGGGGAATGCAGAGTAGGGAATTACTTGTTCAGCTTTCAAAGGGCAAACCTCTAGTCCACCATGAAAACAAGAACTATAAGCTATAAAGATATTTACACCACTCTTGGCACCCCGTGACAGGCTTAGATCACTAGCTTCCAAAACCATAAGGACTTGTCAGTTGCTAGAAGTACCCCGTGCCCTAAGCAGCACCATCAGTGTGCTGCATTCCTGTAAACAGCAATGTCTCCTTGATGGAGGACATGTCTCAACCCAACCTCCCGCTAAAAAGAGGTACAGACAAAGGGGAACAGACTTTCTTTTATCAGAGCAAGACAAAAGGCTCACCTGGAACTGGTACAGGGGGTAGTTCCCATAGAGATATTCATACTTCCCATTCACCTGCAGTGTGTAGTCCTCTGGGTTCTCCATTGTCTCGTGGCGGAAGACAGTAGCCTGCTTCTTGACAGCGTAGCTCATTAATGTGATGGGGAACTCATTTGGGGAGATCTGGAAAGTGAAGCTCTCCTACAACCCCAACAACACAGCATGGACTGTCAAATACCAGCAAAGAGCTGAAATCAGCACAAGAAGCAGCAATAGCTCAGCTGGGAGGTAACAAGATTCCCGTTACTGACAATAAAAGGAAGGATAGTGAGGCCAAAGTATTCCTCCTCCCTCCCCCGAAGCAAATAAGTAGGGATGTTTGCCAAACTGGGCTGGAATATGTTTCAGCAGTGCAAGCACAGTGCTGCAAATTAATAACTTTAAGTCCAGTATAAACACGACCACCAGTACATGTGGCTGGTAGTCACCAAACAATAAAATAAAATCTTCCCACTGCTATTCCAGCAGCAAAGCAGACAGTGGCTGAGGTCATTGTGCTCAAGCTATTCTCTCCTAGAGGTGGCTCTTGCTTCATGCCCAGGCACAACATGCAAAACTCACATTAACCAAGGGCAGCAGGCAAGAACAGGGCCCCATAGGCACCACAGATCAACGCCTGCAAGCAGTCTATGCTGAGCTGGCTTCTGGTTTTCTCTCTGATCCATAAGCAAAAAGCTTCCCATCACGTGTGCATACAGCAACTTCAGTCACCAGCTAATTGGCACCCGAGGGGAAACACAAACAAGTCAAACAATGCCACAGAAAAATTGGTGCTTTACCCCGCCAGACTGAAACTTGACGTTGACAAAAATGTTCTTGGTGGGTGTGTGCAAGAGTCCAGTTCCAAGGCCTTTGGCCATGGGTTCAAGCTGCAAGGGAAAGTTGTACTCCATCCAAGCTGCCCAGCTGAGCTGCTGCCGCTTTGCTGCTCTCTCCTCACAGAATTGGCACATTTTGGTGCGGAAATCATTCACCTCTGGATCCTGCACAGAGTCAAATTCGTGCAAACCTGTGTGGAGGTTAAGAAAAAAAGATGAAATAAGCACTTGTACCCCTTGCAGGATTAAGCTGGTGATAAATCAAATGACTGTGAAACAACCTTCCTAAACACATACTTAATATTTGTTTAAAAAGAAAGTCAAGTCAGCCAAGCTGCTAGTAATTGCTCCTTTACTCTGCACAATTGCAGGGAGTAAATAACAACTGCTATTGTGGAGTAAAGACACAATACTATGTCACCCTGTCAGAAGGGAAAACTGCCCTTCTTGCATTTCCATACACACCATTCCCTTACTACAAGCACTACAGAGAAGTCCTGCTTAAAGTCTTGCTTATTTCATCTACCGTGTCAGTGAGATTCCATTGCTATTCCATAAATAATAATGCCATCTGGGACAGAGGCGCATATCACCCACGGCCAGCAGCCCTGCCACGCTCCTGGTGAGACCTGTGATGAGGGAACTGACCTTTCCCAATAAGCAGGCTGATTTGGGAGTTAATAAGCTTCTTGACTCTGTCACCTTCTCGAGCCACGAGCCGCAGGACGGGCAGGAAGGGTTGGATGTCACAAAGGCGCCGCTGCTCATCCTCCAGCTCTTGCTGTTCGGCTGTCTGGTTGATGCACGTGAAGACGTAGGCCTCGGGATCACTGAGCATATGGTAGAGTGGCTCATACTGAGCGTGCTTCCACACCACCTGGAACAGACCAACAGCACAGTGAAACTACTGCTGCGCTGCCAGAACCTCGTCTTCCTCCTCCTGCCATCCCACAGCCTCACTCTCCACCTTCTCTCAATATCCCTGCACCTGCAATCACAGGCAGTATTTTCAGCCAAGTCTGGCAACTCCAACTTCTGCTGAAGATTTGGGTAATAAATCTGGCTAGATTTATTTGCAATTGCTTTTAACTGACTTGCTTTTCTCTTCTGTGCTTGCCATTTGTTCCAAGCCCCAAAAATCTCTTGCCCTCCGTATTTAAATAACTCCCATCTGAATACCTGGCACTAAGCGCCTGCTGACTGAGAGCCTTGTGAAATGGAGGGAAAAGCAGGTTAAGTAATTCACCTCCAGTAACACGAAATCTGTGACAGAGCAAAAGAACTTTTCCCAAGTCTTCTGAACTCCATCAAGTGCTCCCAGTGGGTGACACTTCCACACGACTACTGATATTCCACTCCTTTGCTCCCTTCCTAAGCACACGCTGTAGGAGAAGCAGCCCTGCAGCTGATGGGCCTCCAGCTGACCCAAAAAACACAGACCTGCAACTTAACAGCTGGAACCAATCAGCTCCACTTGCCTTTTTTTTATTTATTTACTTATTTTTGGGCCTGAAAACTGCCGTATGAGAAAACCGGGAATAATCTGGCACTGTGCTTCTGTCCCTTGTGATCTGTGACTCATCTAGGCCAGGTTGCTGCTGCAGAAAAAACCTTCTCCAATTCTAATTGCCTTCACTCTCCCCTAACCACACTTTCTGCCCAGGGAAATAAGAAAGTATCATTTCTTTAACGCATGGCTTCGCCACAGCATTTCATTCCTCAAATTAAATTCTCTCTGTCACTTCTCAGTTTTCACTGTTCAGTTTCTGTGATGCAAGAAATGGCAGGGCTGACACGCTGAACAGTCCAGCACCTTAATTTGTCTATTTGGAGCGATCTCTCTTCCTTGAGTCTGCATAGACAAGAGCACTGCTAACAGAAGATCTAGTGATGGTGACTGGCTGGCTCAGGGAAGCAGCATCAAAAATGCTATCCAAGCCCTGTGCTGCCAGCTCGTGTCTGCACTCATCCTGCAGCCACTCAAAAACTAATTCACACCTCAGTGCCCAGTGAATAAAGCCCAACACATTGGCAGCACCATCAGAACCCTGTTGCTGGCAGCCTCAGCAGCTAGATGTGCATTTGGTGGGTTGCAGAGGCTCTCACAAGAAGCTGTCTCACAGCAATGTATCAGAAACCCAGCTTGCATTAAGACCCAACACAGCAGCTCACAGCTCCCAAGAACAGATTTGTTGTTGCAGGAAGCTGCAGATGAGAGTGACCAAAGCTGTTACCTGTTTGATGGTGCCCAAGCTGGCATTGCAGGGCACAGAGAGATTCAAGTATATGCCTGTTGGCAGCAGAAAGTCCACCTGGATGTTTTGGTTTTCCCCCTTGGACCAGAATTCCATAGGGCAGTAAATGCCCGGGGGCATCCTGCTCACTGCTTAGCTACAACCTGCAAGAGAAGGGGAAAAAAAGACTGCAGCTTCCAACTATGTAACACCTCCTCAGGGCACAGTGCAAACCTGCGCTGGGCTTTGCACAAAGTTAATACCCAAAAGGACCCAAAGAAAGGAAGGTTATCAGATCTTCCACAGCTCAGGAAAATTGGCACCTTAGTTAAACTTCCAGTCCAGAGCCTTTAAGCCACAGGAATATTCTTGCTGCTGGTTCTGAGTCTGCACGCATCATCCTTAAAACAAAACCAAGTAATATTCCACTGCATAACCCACCTCTGAAAGTATAGGAAAAGTGAAATCTAAGGCCAAGGCAACCACGGCAAGTTTGTTAATTCCATCTGCATCCATTCATTTTCCACTTCCAGGTACAAACACAGATAAATGCACACGTGAATGACTAAAACAGAAGGTGCTCAGCAGAAGCCCATCATATGGTTTCTCTCTTAAAGGCACATAATGTCAAAGTCAGAGGAACCCCCAGGCTCCATCCATTTGTCCATGCACAAAATACCATAGCAATGCAGAACCCCGTTTCCTCCAACTCTTTGCTAGTTCTAAATTCATCCCTGCACATGTCCTGAGCAATTCTGTCACTTATCTTCAGCCTATGAAAGCAGTACAAAAACTGCTAACTTCACAACTTAAAACATGGCTTTGCAGCTGTCAGCTGGTGCACAAACTTAGACACCAAGCAACATGCTGCTGAGGATTTGGGTCTCCCAAATCACGAAGTACTGCTGGCAGCTCCTCGTGAGCCAGCCCCGTGCTTCAGCATGACAAGGAGCCCAGCATCTTATCTACAGCGCCTGGGAGAACAACACTTCCCCACCAGCAGTGAGGTAAGGATTCCCAGAAATAAGAGCTATGTTTTATCTGTCCTGCTTCCTCAGCACACATGCTGTATCACACAGAGACCGGATACAGAGACCACAAAACCACCCATGTGCCTTAAAAGGGAGGGAAGTAAAAGGGGGAGGAGGCAAAGTCTACAAGTTTGAATAAAGCAAAACAAGCTTGCCTAGTCCTCTGCTCATTAACAATAAAACCAGCACATTTGTACAATATCTGCTGCCTCAGCCCAATAGTAACAAAAGCAGCCAACTGCCATCACCCTGCTGACAACCAGAGACAGAAGGCACAATAACAGCCAAAGCTGCTTCGTCCTGCTGAGGATTTCAGCCTGATGCAACATCCCATCAGACATGAAGCACCGTGCCTGAGGCTGTGGCATTACGAGGCCAAGTTCCAATCCCTCAGGATCTTGTCCTTCCAAAGAATCACACGGATCTTGGGATGTACAGAGATTTGGCCAACAGAAGATGAGGTGGATATTCCAAAGGAAAGCGGAGTTGCAATGAAAATCAAATCTGTGCAGAGTGTAACAGACACATGTGAAATTACCTGGTGGGCATTTAACAAGGCAGCAGCCACCATAAAACACTCTAACACATCTCCTATAAAAAATGTATGAAGTACAACTCTGGTGTTTACAAAGTAGAACTGCTATTGAAAGAGGGAAAAAAAAAAAGCAACAGGCGATCAGATCACAAAGGGAGCAGTGTTCCACAAACCTCTGTGAGGCTGCTGCCTTACACAGCCACGGAAGCTCCAACGCCTACAAGCAGATGACAGAATTACTAAACCTTAGGACTACAAAAAATACCTTTCAAGTTCATAAGAAATGAGCGGTGCGGAGCTTACAGGTGATGGGTGCAGTGTGGGAGACAGCAGGAAACTGCTTTCATTGCAGGCATCAACTGCAGGGGGAGGAGACCATGGGAAATTCTACGTACACACGCAGGTTTTTAGCACGCAGTCAACACATGTAGCAGAGGTGAATCAACCCTATGTTCTCACAGATGCAGTCAATGAACCTTCTGAAGGTGTCTAAGCTCAGGCTTGGTTTTTTTTGGTGGCGGTCACGGAGTAAAATACTGCACACTGTGGGGAAAGGCAAGTTATTCGAGCACTGATGGACTTACAAAAGTAAGCCACAAGTTTCCCTTAAAGAACAGACTGGGAAAATTCTCAGAGCATGTCAGCATGGCCCCAGGTGTGCAAGCAAGTCCCACCATGATGGGAGGAAGGAGCACTGGGGGGGCAGAGCTAGCTGGATACCTGCACCCAAGTAGCAGTCACCCAGATTAATGAGACAGAAACAACGTGCTGAATCTGCTTAACCTCATGGCCTAATGTAATAACTCCCAGGATGTGGATGCAACCAATAGATGCTCATGGTGGGACTGGCCTTAGCAGCCCTGCTTGCTGATAATTATTGACAACCTGTTTATCCACCTGAGAACAAACACACATGTGGTAAAAGGTGCTAAAACACCTGCTTGTTTGCAGACTGTAAGAGCCTGCTGTGCTGCCCCATTCAAGGCAGCAGCTCAGAGCAGAGCCAGCAGGACAGAGGACTCCCAGTCACCTTCTGCCACATCCAACTGGCTGCAGCCCTTTCCACCACAAGAACAGCTTTGCTGCCTTGCAATCATCATCCATTCCAGAGAAAGCATTCATAGAACAGATTTGACACAAAAACTCCTGTGCTCTCACACGTCAAAAAAGTGTTTCCTTTACAATTTCCATTTAGTACACTCTGAAATACACATCAGCATCCCAGCTGAGCCATCTCTGCCTTCTTTCAGTTCCCGGGACAGTGCTGCACCTTCAACACAGACCTGAGTTGCAACACAGCTCTGCCCCTGCTTCCTCCAACACACACACACAAGCTAACACTTGGACCACAAACTCAGCAGGAAAAAAACCAGGAGCCCTTGAGAAGGTGGAGAGAAGCATGCAAGCACTTAGCACCACCTGACGTTGAAGCTTTTCTATGCTCAGGGTTCAATTCCTCAAACCATAATTTAGACTATCATAACCTCTATTTGGTTTACCATAATAAAACTTCTACTTCTGCCCAGTATAAAAATCAAAGAAAGATTTTTCATATTATCAGTTTTTGCTTAACAGATTGATCCTGCCACACAATTCCACACACTGATTCATGATCTCTCAGTGGTCCTTTGCTGTTCCTCCAGTTCCACAGTTGCGCTGTTTCTACGATACCTTTTATTAGAGAATTCTAAGCCCCTGATTAATCCCATCTACTCATTATTTTGCTTACACAAACATTAGGCTGAATCAGACCTATAATGGAATCTGTTCAGGATAACCAGGCAAGGGATGAAATCACACAGCCCAATGTTTCAGGCCTCCGAAACACTGCAGAGCATCCCCTTCCTACCCGAGACCAAACAAACCACCATTTAGAGTACAGTCAGCACCTTCAGCATACAGAGATGTCAGCAGAGAACAATGACCTTTCCATAGCGCACAGCTACTCTATCTACACAAAACACACAGGGAGCAGGCCTTGAACAACCACTATATCCAAAGATTCTCTTGGCTTGTACCCTTCCCTTTCTGAAATAAACACACCCACGTTTTGAGCATTTACTGTGCTCAGTGCCTGCCTTACACACACGCATGCCCAACAAACAGGCTCACAAAGAAAAGCAACAGGAAGCAGAATTACACTAATGCAATCCAAACTGGAGCTAACCTCATTTGTGTGCAGGACCGATGATGAAAGCGGTTGTCAGCAAGGAGAGAGATAGGAAAGCAGAATATACACACGGTGATAACAACAGGCTGCAGTTCTGGGGGGCTCCCAGCTGCAGAGCAACTCAGCAAAGAGCATCAGAGCAATATACATCACTCAGGCTTAGCAGGACCTCCAGCCCAACTGCAAGGAATAGCCAGAGGGGGGAGAGAGCAGCGCTGATAAAGCAGCTCAAGAGAAACAGAAATGTAAAGCCATACCTCGGCTGGGAGGAAACCGGCACTGCTAGAGAGAGGAAGAGAACGGCAGGGAGTACGGAAAGCACCTGAAGGGAGGGCTCCAGAGCCGTTCCCTGCTGGAAACTTTAAGCAGCCTTTCAGGCAAGTCAGAGTCAACCCGCTATGTTTTCGGTTGTTGTCTGAGGAAGCATCTAGTGGAAAACGGCACATTTAGCGGTTAAAGCAAGAGCTCAAAACCCAACAGCTTGCAAAGTTCCATTCCCAAGCCCAGCAGTCGTTTGATGCGTGACTTTGAACAACCGACTCCTCTGCGTTTCGGTTCCCTCACGTGCACAGGCGGACCATGCAAAGGATGCTGCCGAGTGGCGGGCTGTGCTGCAGGGCCGTGCTGCAGGGCTGCTGCCGCTGCTATTGCTACTGCCGGCACGGGCACAGTCCGGGAGATGGAGGAAGTAGTGATAACGAGAGCAGCTCGCTGAAATTAGCCTTTTTGCAGCTGACAACACCAGACACCCAGATGCATCTCGCAGACACAAACAAGCCGTATGCGCCTACTGACCCTTGAGCTCCACACATCCAACCTCACACTGCTGAGCTCCCGTCCGAGATACGAACGGCACAGAGCTGCCAAGGGAGCGGAGAGCCGCTGGCGGGCACGGTATTGCACAGCATGGCATGGCATGGCATGGCACGGCACGGCACGGCACAGCGGGCACCGACGGACCGAATCCGCAGGGCTGCAGGACGAGGCCAGGCTCAGCACCGCCGCCCGAGGTGCCGGCTGCGTGAGCTCACTCCGCACATCCCGAACCCGCAGCCCGGAAATATCGCATCCTCGTACAACAGAACCGATTTTCTTCAGGATCTGCTACGGGATGCCGAGCAGCACGCGCAGCGCTGAGCGGGGCTTTATTCCCCGCGGAGAACGCCAAACACCCCGCGCTGAGGCGCCCCGGGGGGGATGGCTGAGGTGACCCCCCCTGCACCCCCACCCCGCTCACCTGCTCCGCACTCCCGTGCCCGCCGGGCTCCCGGCCCGGCCCCGCTGCCGGCCCGGCCCCGCCCCGCGCTCGGGCACCGTCTGCAAAGCGCCGCCCCGTCGGGCACCGGCTGCAAACGGCGCGCGCAGCTCGCGTGCACAAAAGGCGCGACGGAGACGCGATGCCCGCAGCGGCGGCCGCTCCCGCCGGCCCGGAGTTGCCGCCATCGCCAGCACGGCTGCAGCCCGAAGGGTTTAAGCACGTCACGCGTGCAGCCCCGAGGCCTCAGCCGCGTCTCAGCGCTCCGCGGGCCGCTCTGTGCCCCCTTACGCTTTTAGCAGCAGTTCGGTACCGAAAGGCGATCTGCTCGTTTCAGAGATGTCAGCTCGTGCTGTGGGGCAGAAAGCGGATCTGTGAGCGCGGAGCTGTGCTCGGATCGCCTCAGCCCCACGCATGGAAACAAGCATTTTTACAAGCCCCGAAATGACCGTTTTCCCTAAAGCTTGCATGGCACACCATTAAGGTATAAACTCAGGTTTTTTCCATGTTACAATCCAAGGAAAGCTCATTATTTTCACGATCTGACTCATTTGGTTCCCTGAACATTAGCAGTTGGCAATGCGGATAGCTCAGCATCAGTACAAACTGTGACTGTCAAAATGTTCGTTCTCAGCTCTGTTTGAATCCACCACGTCTTAATGTGACCTTTCAAAGCTCAGAAACTGCCTATTTTAAATTGTTACCCCTGACATGTGCTGCAGATATTTTTAACAGACTGTTTACTGGAATTCTGGTTTCTGTTCCGCTCTTTTTTTTTTTTTTTTCTTCTCTTTCAACAGCTTTTCTGCTCAGCAGCTCCCAGACCCACACGCGGCACAGCACTGCAGGACATCTGCCTGCAAGGCATTGGACAACGCGCTGCAGGGAGGGGGAAAGGGAACCGAAAGTCAGAAAGCAGTTGCACCAGGGTAAGGATGGGAGATGCCCAGGAAGGGAAGGCGGGTTCCTGCTTTCCCTCTGAGTTATTGAGAGAAAAGAGCTATGGGGTTTGAAGGAAAAAAAGCAGACAGAGGTATCCGTGTGGCACTGCCAATGCGTCCAACACGAGGCATGCACTGGTGTTAAACCAGCACACCATCTCCATGCCCTTAGTTACCAGTCTTGCATAGCTCCTTCGCTTGGCATTTATCCGCACATCACTTTGCAGGTTGTTTCTGTCTTCTCTGCTCCAGGTGCATCCCTTTGCACAGTGGACGCAGCTGGAAACATCAAGTGCAAGGCTCCTAAACATCTCCCTTCCTAATCCTGCTCTTTGGTGCACAAGAACATTGCTGCTGGCTGTTGCCTGGATGGAGCAGCTGGCTGGCTTCTACAGGGGAAGGGAACAGAGGGAGGAAGAGGATGACAACAAGCAAATCACATCACCATGGCACCTTGTGTTTACAGCACTGCCTGTGGGCACCTGGAGAGAAAAGCACTGTGCCAGCCTGCAGCTCCTGAACCACCTGGATGTTGGCAACTAACAGCACGTAGGTATTCACTGCTTCTGCAGGCAGAGAAGCGAGGATTTCTAGCCTCTTACCCTCCACTTACTCAAAATAAATAAATGAGAAAGAAAGAAAGAAGCCACATTTAATTACACCACAAAGCAAACAGGAAGCCAGAGCAGTTTTAGGAGAGTTGAAACTATTTGCTCCATGTGGTTAACACTACCAAACAGGCGGGCAACCGCGTTTTTGCATCAGCTATGCAGTTGGTCTGTAAATATGGCAGGTAACTTGCTCTTATTTAAAAGTCAAAAGAAGTTTTCTTGGCCACAGGATACAAAATAAGCTCATGGCCACAAGAAGTGCACAGCAGCGATCCCCGCCGGCTGCAGGAGAAGAGCAGCAGCCTCACCAATAAGAGCAAAGAGAAGCCCATGGTCACACCAAGAGCACACACTGAGGACCACCATTTCTTTTTGCTTCTCACACAAAGCTCAATGCTGGCTTCTCGTTCTCTGTGGGGGTTTCTTGGAACCCATGTATGTCAGGCCCTGGGCTCTCTTGAAGCTAGCAGTGTGCACACCGAGTGGAAGGGAGGAGAGCTGAAGGCTTCACTAATTATAATGAACTTCATAAACACTGCAGTACCTCTGTATCTTACAGATGTTGGCCCAAGCAGGCCAAAAGAGGAAGAACAGACCTTTCTCACTTTGAAAATCAGTGCCAGTGCTCTCAGGAAAGCATTGACTAATCCAAACCAACTGCAGATCCAACGCTTAACTTTGTTGGTGAAATTCAGATGCGAATCCACCATTTTAATGTCAAGTTCTGTATGATTCATACAGCAATCCCTGCTGTGGTACGACACTGGAGGTAGTGTGCACAGCTTGCTCATCAGCATTATGGAGCAAACATCCATCCCAGGAAAGCAGGCTCCCAACTAGCACTGGAAGCACAGCAGCACCAGCTCTGACAAATTGCTATTTGAAGGCAATACAGCACTGCTAACCACCTCTGCTTTTCATTATTAATGCATTCAGAATACATACAACTCATTTGTACTGCTTAACAAGGCTCTAGGTGGAATGGTACCATAACCTCTGCACACCCAGGCTTTTCCTCCTTTGTCCTTGACGTTTGAAAAAACTGAGATGCAGAAATGAATTGCCTAAAATTACATAGGAAGATAGTGTAAGAAAAATAAAAATCAGATTAGATCTCTAGTGTCCTTACCAAAAGACTTGTTCTATTAGGATAATGTACATTTACTTGTAATTTTTATCCCCCCCAGACAGGAGAAGAAAAGTGGATGAAATGGTTACTGAAGCTAACGGTTTGGTACAGGATAATTCAGGCAGGTTGGGAGGTCCTTGGACGTGTTTAAGGCCAGGTTGGACGGGGTCCTGGGCAACCTGATCTGAATGTGTATGTTTGGTGGCCCTGCTAGGCAGGGGGGTTGGAACTACATGATCCTTGGGGTCCCTTCCAACCCGGGTGATTCTGTGATTCTGTGATGTGCATTGGAACCCTGATGGGTGGGAGTTCAGGGAGATGATTAGAAAGGAGAGCACATGGAAGATTTCCCTGTGGAAGAGCAGAGATTAGGAAACAGATTCACCACAAGGACCATGGGCTGGTAACCCCTCACGATGGTCTCTGGAGAGAACAGAAACCAGCAAAAGGCTGTGCTGAATAAAACAGAGAGGAGAAATTCACCAGCACACCTTCTTAAAATGAGGGCTAAAACCACCACCACCTCTCTCAAGGTCATTATCACACGTCTCATTTTCCACATTCCCACAGCTCAAATCCCACCAAAACAGCACATCCTCAGCTCGGCACAAGGCAGAGAACGAAACAAGGGGTCAAAAGCACATTTGCTATCCTTTACCAAGTATGGGCTGGGGAATCCCACTAACAGAGCTGAAGGGCTTGCTGAACACCCAGCTCCTCGCATCACGAACCCCACATCCTGAGCCATGCATCCTAAACCAACCCTGGAACAGCTGCTGCTTTTTTCCCCCAGTCCTCACCTTCACTGAAGGAACCCTCCCAGCACAGGGATATCTCTGATATCTCTTTCGAGAAAAACACAGCAGTTATTTCATTGCTTGGGTTTTGGGGCAGCTGACCACATGGTGGTTTTAATATGAATTGTTTTTCTTTCAAAAACAAGGCCATAGTTTGCTTGTTGTTATTGACACAAGAGAACTATTTTGGAGCAGAAAACCACAACAAAGCCTCTGCACGTTTTTCTCTTCATTTGATGGACATCAAACAAATAATCCATGAAGTAAGGTCTTCCCATGAGCCATACAGAAGCTGATGGTGAATTATTAGGGATAGGATTCGAGGAATTGAGCAGCCTGTTTGTTCAAGCAGTGTTAAAGCCTGGGTCTGCCTGAGTGACAGAGGGAACTCGCGTTGCAGCCCTCAGCAGGAATGTGCTGGCATCCTTGCCCAGGTGAAAACAATGTTTGGTTTGCGTGACTATGCATTTCAATGAAGGGCATCGTGGTCTTGAAAACAATGCACATTTCCTCATATGCAGAGGAAATAACTGACCTAAACCTGAGTTTAGTTGCAACAAGCAGCTAAGCTTCCTATCTTGATCATCAGCAAAAGTTCAGGACTTCTGAAGGAGAAAAATACCTGGAGGCACTCTCCTTAGGAGGCCATAAAGTGAACCAGGAGACCAGGCTGGATACCTCCTTGGTTGTAACTTTGAAATTCTAATGAAGAAACAACCTCAACGCCTGCTGAAGCACTGCATGGAGGAAAAAGTGAGTTCACATAATTGGTGGTGGTGCAAGAAGCACAACATCCCAGAGAACACAGGGGAAGGTATTAGTCAAATGCTAGTCTGGGGGAGATGCTGCTGACCCAGTTCTGTGAGACGCCGGGGACACG